TTTCTTTCTTTCTTTCTTTCTTTCTTTCTTTTCTTTCTTTCTTCTTTTCTTCTTTCTCTCCTTTAACAAACATGTAAGCCAGGTTCCACAGTGTGTCCAAGTGGCAGGCAGTGCTGGCCTTAATATCTGTTCTCCCCTCTTCCATAGGAATAGAACCTCAGATTTTCGGCTGACTGTTGGCCACTCAGAATAAAGACTATATTTCCCAGTGTCCTTTTAGGCAAGTGTGGCCACATGGCTTGGTTCTGGCCAATGGGGTGTGAGCACAAGTGTTATATGGGATTTCTGGGATGTGTCCTTAAAAGGAAGTGGGGAGCCCTTCCTCACCCTTTCCTCCTCATTGGCTGGAATGCAGATGTGATAGCAGGAGCTCAAGCAGCTGTGTTGTCCCATGAGGAGGTGACTGCTTGCTAAGGACGTGGAGCAATAATATAGAAGGAGCCTGGGCCCTGGACACCATAGAGCCTCCATGCCATCCCTGCACTGACTTTTCATATGCATGAGCCCCATGTGCTTAATATGCTCTGGTTGGGTCTTGTATCCCACCACCAGCCCCAATCCTGACTGCTACATCTGTCCCTCCCAGTCCACCTCTCCATTCTCACCCCCTCTCATGCCTACTGGACAGAGAGGCCTGTCCTTGCCTTGGCAGTGCCATGGGCCATCCCCAGTGACCAAAACAGGGTGCCCTGGGTAGTGTAGCCTTTGTTTGTGGCATTATGCAGGGCTGGGAGCAAGGGACCTCAGAAAGTGGGTGTGAGGTCCTCATCACAGAGCTGCAGCCCCTCAGGGATCACGTGCAAGGATCTCAGCCCACCTCTACACACACGCATGCCCACATGTACACACACACACACACACACACACACACACACACACACCAGAGCCACGACCGCGGGCCTATCTTTTGCCATCCTGACCAAGGGCCTATCCTTTAACATCATCAATCCAAGAAGGGAGACCCTTTTCTTTAAACCACCTCGAAGTTTCCCAGCTTTGCACGAAGTGCAGAAAGCAAAGCACAATTGACAAACACGTTCATATGTGTAACGCAGGAAATCTTTGACTACACACACATATTCACTTGTGGACCTCCCAAGACCAGACTGCTGGGTCCAAATCCCACCATCACTCACTTGCTGCATGACCCCAAGCAAGTGACTTGGCCTCTCTGGGCCACAATTGCCTCATCTGGAAAACAGACCCAGAAGTGCTGCTGAGAAGGATTTTCTCTGATCTACTTAAAACCCCTCCAGTGGTTTTACTCAGCGCCTCAGAATAAAAATCAAATTTCTTCTCCAAATTTACAAGGTCCTGTACCAATTGCCCCCATCCCCTTCCTGCCCTCACCTCCTCCCTGTCCCCCAACCTCACTCACTCTGCTCCAGCAACAAAGGCCTCCTTGCTACTGCTCCTCCAACATGCCAGGCCTGGTGCTGCCCCAGGGCCTTTGCATGCACTGTTCCCTTGGCCTGGACTACTCTTCCTGCACACTCACCTCCTTCTCACCATTCCAGTGTCAGCAGTGTCAGATCCAGTGTTCCCTCCCTGACCTTCCTCATCATGCCTGGCACATGGCCAAGCAACTGCCCCTCACTCATTGTCCAGAAGACCCCTCGATATGGCCCAACCCTTCTGAAGAAGCACCTTAACTACTCGCCATAAAATTAAGCCACATCTGAGCTGGTCTCTGAATCCAGCTGCAAACTGGCAGGAGGCACAGGAGACTGAGGAACGTGTTAAATGGCACCAAAAGGACGAGCTGGGCAAAAGCCAGGTGGGAGATGTCGCCACAGAGTATATGACCCAGTGGCTTCAACAAATAAATTGCAAGGCAAAAGTAAGAGAGCAAGAGATGGGGAAGCTGTCAATTAAGACTTAGGAGATCACCAACGACTCTAGACTTTATCTTGGTCCTGACCCAGACAACCTAAAGAAATGCGCCTCACAAGCGTCCACATTTCTGTGTGTCCGCTGGATGGATAGCTGATGCTATTAGGGAATTGTTATTTTGAACATAATACTGAAGTTTGTGGGGTTTTTTTTTTAAGAGTCTTATCTTAGGGGCACCTGGGTGGCTCAATCAGTTAAGCATCTGACTCTTGATCTCAGCTCAGGTCTTGATCTCGGGTCGTGAGTTCAAGCCCCGCATTAAAAAAAAAAAGAAAGAAAAAGAAAAAAAAATGAGTCTTATCTTAGAATGGGGGCTGTCCCCCTTGGCGCTGCTGACCTCGGGGCTGGGTCATCATAGGCTATCCTGCATGCTGGTGGAGGGGGGGTTGAGCAGCACCCCAGCCCCCACCCCTTTGATGCCAAGAACCCGCCCCCCCCCGGGGCATGACCACCACAAATGTCTCCAGATATCACCCAGGGTCCCCTGGGGACAAAATCCCCAACCCAGGTGAGAACTGCTGCTTTAGAAACACCACATGTTTACAGATGAAAACCATCTGGCATTTGCGTCAGAACAAGGGACAGGGGAGAGTGGAAGGGTGTAAGAGTCAAGAGTGGCCCTGGACAGATAATTGTTGAATCTGAGTAATGGGTGCATGTCGGGGGGATCATTATTCTATTCTCTCTACTTGGGTGTGTTTGATGTTTTCCACTATAAAAAGTGGCAATGATGAGGAAATTCAGATCAAAGCTGGAGGTGAGTTCACCGTAACGGACGTACCTTTCTTGGTGGGGACAGGTGAGCATGCTCGGCCCGTGCGGGAGGCGAGCATTATGGGAAGCCGGGCGAGGGGTACATGGGAACTCTCCGTAGTTAGTACCTTTGCCGCTTTTCTGGACATCTAAAATCAGTCCAAAGTAAAAATTTTATTTTAAAAAAAAAATGTTGAAATGCAGAATGAACAAGCCAAGCAGGGATGCGCAGCCCACGTGTCCAGGATCGGAACGGAGGTGCGGGGCGTCCCAGCACCACCGTTGGTGTGACGGACGACACAGCGGCCCTGGAGACACCCTCCCGCCCCCAGCTCTCCTCACTCACCCGTGGACACTGGGAGCCGGCCTCGGGCTCGGCAGGGATTTGCCAAATGGGTGGTCGCAGGGGCCAGAAGCCGGGCGGCCCCACAGCAGTCAGGGCAAGACTCCGCTTTCAAACCCACTTTATTCTCTCTAGACTAGAAACACTCCGCATTTCCACCCTCCCCGCCCCGATCGTGGCCAGCCCGGGGCGCCACGGTGCCTCACAGGGGTTCTGGGGGCCTCTGGGAGGACTCCGTGGCCTCGGCCACCCCCACGGACGTGCCACTGGAGTGGCCCTGTGAGCCGGCTCGGGCCAGCAGCTCCAGCCTCCGCGAGCGCAGCCGGGCCTGGATGGCCCAGATGGGGGCCCGGTGTCCGGGCAGCGAGGGGTCCTCGTTGCCCACGCTGTCGATGGTGGAGTTGGAGCCGTCTTCCGTGCCGGCCACCGACTGCTTGCACACGGGGCAGGAGCGCCGGGGGGCCTGCGAGAACCAGGGGTCGATGCACTTGCAGTGGTAGGTGTGGGAGCAGGGCAGGATCTTGAGCTGGTCGCCCTCCTCATACTCATCCAGGCAGATGGCACACAGGTCGTTCCTCCGCGTGAAGGTGCGGACCTGCGCCTTCTGGCAGGCCTGCGGCTTGGCCTCTGTCCCCCGGCTCCACCAGGCCCAGAGCCAGTTCCACAGCTGGCGGACGACCAAGACCGTGGATGTGAGCAGAGCCAGGGCGCGGCCCAGCACCCAGGAGACGGCCAGCACGGGGTGGCAGTCCAGGTCGGGGCACGGCGGGTAGTCGGGCAGCAGGAGGACATGGGCCGCCTTGTCGCAGCGCGCGATGACCCGCAGGTCCTGCGAGGCCGCCTCGCCCACGAACACCGAGGGGATGGCGATCTGGCGCCGCAGGTCCTCGTAGACGTGGGCCATGCGCACCAGTTCGTCCGAGCGGACGTTGTGCACGATGGCCGCCTCGAAGCCGGCCCGCTGGGCGTGCAGCACCTTGAGGTCGAACGTGCAGTCGTACCGGCGGATCAGCACAATGGCGCCCAGCGAGCCGTTGCCTGGTCGCGGGCCCTCGATGGGGTGGCACGCGTTGGCCGGCTTGGCCTCCATCAGGTAGCCCCGCACGCCCTCGGGGGCCAGGGGCACCCCGAACAGGGCCGGCAAATCCGCAAAGTCCACGGTGCTGGCATTGCCGTCCAGCACGGCCCGCACCACGGCCTCCGAGGGCACCAGCAGCGCCAGCAGGATCAGCGAGGCCTTGACGGCCCCCTGGGCCCCGGCCGGCTGCTGCCGCCACCCCATGGCCGCCGCCCCCCCTCCCTCCTCCTCCGGCTGCTGCGTGGAGCTAGGTCCCGCTGGGGACAGCAGACGGGAGGCCTTCGGACATCTCCAGGGCCTCCCGGGGGGCCCGTGGCCGGGATGAGAGGGGACGTGAGCTCGAATGGGGAGCTCAGAGGCAGGGACGCGGGACAGCTGGGGCCAGGGCGTCCCTAGGCAGACACTGCTCCCGGCGGCAGCCCCGTGTGCATCATGTCCTTGAAGGCCGGTCTCAGGAGCCGCTGACCTACCCAGGTGGCCTTGCTGGCGGATGACGCTGAGGCCAGGAAGCCCCAGGGTTCTAGATGCCCCGGGCCTCTGTGACATCGTCCCGTTCCATCTTGTTCCCAGGAGCCCCCAGTTGCCTAGGGCTGTGGCCAGGACCGAATTCCTGGGTCTCTGACCCGGATGCTCAGAGCATCCCCAGTTCCTGGACCTCATAAGGCTCAGGGTTGCCACAAAGTGGACTGATGGCCCCCAGTGGCACGGATCCAGTACGTATAACTCTTACTCCAGAGCATCATCGCCCAAAGACTCCCAGAGACCCACCAAGAGAGGTGCCAATGTCACTCCCTTTTGAGGTACCCAGAAGGACCCAGACTAGTTCAGGGCACCCTCCCCCCATGAGGTCGGTTCTTGAAACCCAAATTCCAAATCTCCTCCCTCTCTCCGCCGCTAGCGCCAGTCACTCTGTTCCAGCCGCACGGGCCTCCTTGCCATTCTCACAACACACCAGGCCACACCAGGCATGGTCCTGCCCCAGGGCCTTTGCACAGGCTGTGCCCTCTGCCTGAAATGCCCTTTCTCCAGGGGCCAGCTCTTTCTCAGGACATTGGTCTGAGTTCATATGTCCTCAGAGTCTAACTAGATTTGATCTGGGGGGAGAAAGGTGCCCAGGTCAGTGTGGAGCCGGTAAGAGTGAGTAGTGCCTATCCTCTACCCTCACTGCCCAGTGGGCCTCCAGTCCTGCCTCAGCTTTATCCTCCCAGCTCTCGCCTCCTCTCCGGCCCCGTCCCCAGCCACAGCCTTGGGTATCAGCCTCACGTCCTCCCCACTTCTCATGCCCCAAACCTCCCACCCGGAGTCTGCCCCCTGCTGGGCCAGGCAGCCTGCTTACATCTGGGTTGCTGGGTCTGCCACTCACGGGCTGTGTGACACCAGGTAAACCACTCAACCTCTCTGGGCCCCAGACTCCAGATCTGTAACAGAGACATAATGGTGAGGAACCCATCTTATAAGACGGGTGGGGCGAGAAGTGAATGAGGCAACGCGTGATCAGCGCTCAGCGGCAGGTCTGACCTGTTCTCTCTCCCACACCAGCCCCGCCCCCGCTGTGAAATCCTTCTAGTCAGGGGTTTTTCCAAAATCCCAATCCTCCCGACTCTCCCCTCACTCCCCATTGCCCTCCAGATGCGGCCCACAAGCCCCCCACGCCCCCCATGATGGTCAAGACCCTGCCAGTCTCTTAAGCCCGAGGCTTTTCAATGCTGTGAACGCATCACGTGTGCTTGACCTCTAGAGCTTTGCAGATGCTGCTTCCAGGGCCAGGAACAGCGTCCTGTCTCCTCAGTGGCGCTTGGCCAGGCTGACCACTTACTCTTCGAGAGGCAGGGCATCGTCCCATTGTTTTTCCCATTTCCACGCTCTATGTTTCTGCACTGCTTGGCTCTTTTGTGATGGGAACAAAGTCCCTTATTACTCCTGAAATAAAAATCAACTAGTGTTTCAGAAAGAGGCCTCTGGTTGCTGGCTGGAGGGTGTGGACTGGAGAGGGAGAGGGGGGCCGGGAAGCCATGGAGGGGACAGGGACAGAGACTCAGGGAAGGGGCTGAGAGGGGACAGAGAGCGACTCAGAGGGGACAGCAGCCCTCAAAGAGTGAGCGAAGGAGAGAGAAGGTGCTTGGGGCCGAGCGGTGGTCCCCTGCCGATGCTGTCCCTCTGGGGATTACCCCCCAAAGTCGCTGGTGCTGGCGCCTCTCATGTCTTTCCAGAAACTGCAAATTTTCCTGAGGGACTGTCCTTGGCCCCACTGGAATTTTAAAACATCGGTGTCTTTGTATTTTGCAAGTCCCATCTCTTTGAGGCAAGAGATTTGGGGTTTTTGTTTTGACTCCCATCAAGTTTCTAAAGGAGGACAACAGGAGGGTCGGTGTTTAGGGAGTATTTGCTAAATAAAGGAGCGACAGATGGTTATAGGGGAAAAGATGGAGACAGAGGTTCTCCAAAGACAGCAGCTGATAATGGGGTGTCTCGGTTTCCTAGGGTTGCTGTAACAAAGTGCCATAAACTGGGTGGCTGAGAACTTTAGAAATGTATTTTTTCGAAGTTCTGGAGACCAAAAGTCCAAGATCAAAGGGTCGGCAGTGTGGGCCTCCCTCTGAGGGCTCCTCTGGCTCCTAGAACCTGCTTGGCCCACATGCTGGTAACGCGCGGTGAGCCAGCCAATGAACACCTCTGGGGGCGTCCCAGGACCACAGCCAGTGGGACCACCTCTTGCTCCTCCAATGAAATGACTCTGGGGGCACATGTCCTCACCACCTCCCAGAGGACCCCAGGGGGCCTGAGCCCCAACTGCCCCCCTGACAACGTGCTTGACCGTGCTGCTTTTAAGTTGCCCTCCCTTTCCTGTCTCTGACCACCCCCCCCCATCCAGCTCCTCTCCCAGGGTTTTCTGAAATCACTGCCAAAGTAAGTAAGCTTGATTCAAATTCTTGTCTCAGGGTCTGCTTCTGGGGGAGCCGACACTAAGATGCTGCCTGAGAATAGAGGCAATGTATAAGAAAGCAGAACAAAGTGACAGAGAGAGACCCAGGTTCTAAAAACATCATCTGAGTGCCTGGATCTAGCTGAGACTGAAGGCCACACAACACCTGTACCACTGTTAGATGAACTAATACATTCCTTTTTTGCTTAAGAGGGGGTTTCTGTGTCCACACAACTAACCGGAAGGGACACTGGGCACAACTGTAAGCCTGGATTTTCACCCCCCTACTGTTTGTAGGGGGAGCCTCGTTCAGTAGCGCTGGTGGGGATGCACTGAAGATGTCTGGCTCCTCAGGCTGTTAGACATAAGACACGTATCAGATGGGGGCTGGGATGTGTCCTGTGGCCATAACTTCTCGGAGCTCAAGGCCACGTCTCCTTCCCTCCTCCCCCCAGTGCGTCTCCTGATGCATTCAGCGTTAAACTCGCGCATACATGAGTAGGTATGCAGTGCACCCACACCCCGGATCGGATTGCAATCCAGGAGACTGTGTGGCCCCCCGGGGCTGGGGCTGGGGCTGGGAGGAGATGGAGGTGTGCGAGGGGTCAGTGATAAGTTGCCAGTGAACCGTCCACCTGCAGCCCGACCTGGGCCCCTCTGCCTCCCTGTCTCTTTTTGTATTTCTCTTGGACCTACTCTCTCTTGCCTGTCATGTTTCCCTCCGTGGCCTCCGTGTCTGTCCTTTAGGCCCATGTTTATCTGTGTTGGCCTCTGTTTCCCCCTCTCTTTCTCTCTCCCCCCAACCCTCAGCCCTACACCTGGCCCACAGTAGATACACAGTGGATTTTGTCAGCTTCCAGGCCAAAGACACAACTCTGTGGACCTGAACGAGCCTGACATGGTGAGGGACAAGCTGGACTCGAAGCCCAACATGGCCCTTGCTGAGCGAGCGCGTCCTTCCCCGTCTGTAACATGCGGGTGACGGGTGCAGAGTCGGCAGAGACTTTCCCGAATGCGATCACCCGTGGACCTCCCACTGCCCTTTGAGCTTGGGACAGTGCCTTTCCCCATTTCTCCCAGGAGGAAGCCAGCAGCATGCAGAGAGGGGACAGTCCCTCCCAAGTGCCACAGCCAAGAAGGGGTTGAGCCACCCTCTCGGCCCCAGACTCCCCAGACTGGCCTGGCCCTGCGTGCCCCACTGGCCAGGCATCGGCTGTAAATGAACAGGTTTGCCCTCCGAAGCCAGACTCCTTCAGTTGTCTTCCTACCTTTCCTGCCCCGACTCTCGGGTGGCATAGCTGGGCTCGTGGAGACAGAAGACATCTCTGGGGAGAGGGATCTGGTACATGGGACGACGTGCTAGGCACCGGACATCCCGCCGTGGCCGAGACAAAACCCCTGACCTTATAGAGACTCTGTTCTCGCTGAGAAGAGGGAAGACAGCCAGACAACGAATTAACTAAATGAATAAAACCAGCCATCAGACAAAATAATTTCAGGGTGTGAAGTGCAGCAAAGGAAATTTAAGCAGGGGCAGCATTAGGCGGGGCGCTCAAGGAAGGTCTCCCCTAAGCACGCACATTTGAACAGAGGCCCAAAGAGAGGGAAAGGCTTTGCTTCTAGAACATTCTTCGGGTGCCACCAAATCATACTCCACCGAATTGACCTGGGATTTGCTGGATGGCGTCATTTCATTTTGTTTATTTGTTCAGCAAATATGTGCTGGGTACCCACTGTGTGCGAGGTCCCGGGCTGGACACGGAGGACAAAGTGACCATGACAGACACAGTCCCCACCCTCCCGGGGCTCTGTCCAGTGGAGGAGGAGAGCATCCAAACAAATGAACAAGCATATTTCAAAACAGTGGTAAGTCCCATGACAGAAGTAAGACCACGAAGAGACAAGAGCGAGTGCCCGAGAGGCAAGATGAATCCAAGAATGTGAGGTAGAATCTGTGGGTGAAAGCGTGAGGAAAGGCAGGGTATTAGCACGGTGCCAAAGCAGGGCTCCCGAGATACTTGCTAATCCGAAAAGTAAAACAGCGACTTTCCAGTGGGGAACACGGTGGTCACCGTGGAATCAAGGTTAACATTGCTGGTGATGGGACGCATCAGCTTCACGCGGCTCCTGGTCTCCTGCACTGAGGACGCACCGTCACCCCCCACGTCACCCCCGTGTCACCCCCCGCGTCACCCCTGCGGGATTGGGGCGGATGATGCACACCCCAGGCTCATGGTGAGCCGATACCAGACAGACCCGAACTGAGGGACGTCCCACAAAATCCGTGGCCAGTGCTCTTCCTAAATGTCAAGGTCAGGGACGATGATGAGAGACCGAGGAACCGCCATCCCGGAGTTCAGGGCGCCGGGCAGGTGTGGCAGCAAGGCACGTGAGCGGCTCGGGGTGGGATCCTGGGCCAGGAAGAGGAGAGTCCGTGGGAAAGCGGGTCAAACCCGAGTATGGTCTGTAGGTTTGCTAGCAATATTGTACCCACGCTGATTTCCTGGTTTTGCTCATCATGCCAGGTTATGTAAAATGTCATCATTAAGGAGAGCTGGGCGGAGGGTGTATAGGAACTGTGCACTTTCGGCAACGGGGATTGGTGCAGCTCTTCCGGAAGTCT